TATTGATGTTCTAATTGTCAATAAAATGATGTATGTTGACTATAAATGTCAGTAATGTTTAACCAAAACACAATTCTAGTCAAAATTAGAAAAAATATTGTATGTAACACGTTACGAAATGCCGTTCTATGTCGTTCATGTTACAGGACCTCGCTCTGCTCGTCCCGCAAATATTCACTCGTTACATAAAATAAGGCATTTCGTAGCTTGTTTCATCTATTAGACCCCCCACCTCCATGTACAAGCAAAAATAATAAAATCATAAACTCTTTACCCTCTACCCCTCTTACATAATACTTGAAAGCCTTTAAGTCCCAAATATATAAGTCAGAAGACCCGATTTATTTTAGTTTTTTTTTAAGTAGGTACTTATAAGTACCTTCGTAGGTACCTATATAATTTTAACTGCAATTAAATACTGGTAAAACAGTTGAGTGTTTACTTAGCATGTTTATTATAGCTCTAAAATACCAGTAATAAAAATATGACATAATCAGAAAAACGCTAAAAACATTGCAAAATTTAAATCTTTACTTCATACACACGAGGTGAAAAATAAATAAAAAATATACATTAGCTGTCATTGTTACATTGTCATTCATTGATAAATATAATATATTGAGAGATTAAAACAAAAAAAAAGTTAGTTAACATTCCGAGTAACATTCCTAACTATTTAATAATAGATATTTTAAATTAAGCACCTACTGCGGTAATCAAAAATATATTTATATGTACAAGTACGTACCAGGTACCTAATCTCCACTCAAACCCAAGTGCTATTAAGTAGGTATGAAGTACCAAATTGAGAAAGTACTATTGTCATAATACAGTAGCATTGAGTTAGTTAATAAGTTAATCAGCTGTAGTGCATTAGATAATAAACAAACATTCATTCGTAAATATCAATGAAAACAATTACTTAACACTTATACTGGGTGGTGCACAATTACTTTATATATACCTATATTTTTTTAAATGTTTATTATAATAATAATTGTATAGTATGGTTCCTTAATACTTAATAATAAGTTTTCAGACTAAAATATTAAGATCTGATCTGATTAAAAGGTACATTGATATGATTAGATGTTTTTTATAAGGAGAAAATAAAAACTAACATAAGTAGATTAATATTAAATACCTATTACTTTATTTAGTGCAGTACAAAAACTATGCCAAAGAAGGCAGCAAAGCAACTCGGGAATTTTGAGTTGCCACATTTTTAGGCTATTTTAAGGCTATTTTTATACCCTATTCAAAAATTTTATGTTCCTCGTTTTTTGCAAAAATCAAGGTGCTCTGCTAGCTTCGAACGAAGTCAGTAGAGCACCTCAGTTTTTTAAAGCTTTTTTTCCAAAACCAACGACACCATATTTTTAGGCAATTTTTAGGCTCTTAAAATATTATAAAACTTTTCGAAAAATTTTGTTATTTTTAAAAAATACAGGGTGCTTTCCTAGCTTCGAAGGAATCTAGCAGAGCGCCTCGGTTTTTTAAAGCTTTTTTCTAAAAACAACTAAGTACACCACATTTTTAGGCTCTTAAAATATTATAAAACTTTACTAAAAAATTGCTATTTTTAAATAATACAGGGTGCTTTGTTGAAGCAAAGTCAGCAGAGCACCTCGGTTAATTATTTATTTTTCAGAAAACTAGTTATACTACATTTTTAAGCTATTTTAAGGCTCTTAAAACAATATATAACTTTTCAAATAAAATGTATTTTTTGAAGAATACTAGCTTCGAACGAATCCAGCAGAGCACCTCGGTTTTTTAAAGCTTTTTTCTAAAAACAACTGCACTACATTTTTAGGCTCCTAAAATATTATAAAATTTTACCAAAAAATTGCCATTTTAAAATAATACAGGGTGCTTCATTAGAGCAAAGGGTGCTTTGCTAGCTTCGAATGTATTTTTAGCGAGATTTTTAGGCTATTTTTAGGCTCTTGAAATATAATACAGGAAGCTTTGTTGGAAAAATATGATTTTGCTCAACCGTTATTTTTGACCAACCTCGTATAAGACTAATAAAATTTGATATCAGATGGTTGCTTTTTAGGTTTTTGATCATGAGCAACTTTTTATGAGAAATACATTTTTTTTCCTAAAATAAATAATAAAAAGCTTTCCATAAGCCGTCAACTGTCTACGTTAAGTTAGCGGCATATTGTCTTAAACTTAAAATACAACCAGCAGATATCAAATTTTATCAGTCGTATACGAGGTTGGTCAAAAATAAAGGTTAAGCAAAATCATATTTTTTGACAAACCTCGTATACCATTGATTCAATTTTAAAACATTGATACAATTTGAAACCATGCAAGACTTTTTATGAAGAATAACTGTTCTTCATAAAACCAATAATAAAAAAGTTTTCGATATGGTTCCAATTTAAGTAGACACACATTATATGAATATTATTGAAGACTCTGCGTATGAGTAGGTATTATGATATGACTGATATTTAGATTTGATTTGAACATTTACTTTGCAATTTTATTATAATCAACAGGTATGGAATTTTTAACATGGACACTACCTTGTAATTGGTATTTACACCAATTTTGAATCAATCAATCCCAGCTAAAACAACTTATTTGTATATTGTTCATCATTGATTTCGATTATTTTTTCCGCATTGATATAATTAATCGTAGAAATTAAAATTTTTGTTAATTAAGGGTTTTTTGCAATGAGCCTATCTTAATCTTAATAAATATTTAATACAAATTTTCTTTTAATTTGACTTACAAAGTGACATTTTTGTAATCGCAGCGAGTGTCCAAATGATCTATCTACTTTGAGTTACATAAAGTTGAACATTATGTAACTGGTTGTCATAAATATGTTCATGATTGCGAAAAGAAAATAAATAAAAGAAACCTTTTTTTGAATAATTTATATTATTTCAAGAGCCTAAAAATAGCCTAAAAATGTGGTGTAGTTGTTTTTAGAAAAAAAGCTTTAAAAAACCGAGGTGTTCTGCTGGATTCGTTCGAAGCTAGCAAAGCACCCTGTATTTTTTGAAAATAACAAAATTTTTCGAAAAGTTTTATAATATTTTAAGAGCCTAAAAATAGCCTAAAAATATGGTGTCGTTGGTTTGGGAAGAAAGCTTTAAAAAACCGAGGTGCTCTGCTGACTTCGTTCGAAGCTAGCAGAGCACCTTGATTTTTGCAAAAAACGAGGAGCATAAAATTTTCGAATAGGGTAAAAAATAGCCTTAAAATAGCCTAAAAATGTGGCATATGTTTCAACTCAAAATTCCCGAGGTGCTTTGCTGCCTTCTTTTGTATAAAAAAACTAGTAGGTGTCACAATTTTTTTCAGAAACGCATTATTTTTTTCTAAAAAAAAAATTGTTAAGTACAAAGAGTCATCAAATTTGTAGGCCTTCAGTGGTTAAAGCCCTGGTTTTGAATCTACAGTAAACCTGACCTAAGACAAAACGGTCTTAGCGATTTTTTTAATCCTACAAGAACTGAGATAAACCCTAATGTATTCATGAACTCAGATTGTCATACTTAACGCATGTATTATGTTTTGGCCCGAGGTAGAACTTATCGGTTGCAGATTTCACTTGTGTCGAAGATTAAAGTTGGTTTAAAAAATGAAATAGCTCCAGGCCTCATAGGTTAGGTAAATTCGTTAAGTTTTTTAATTTTTCTTATTTTTGGCGCTGAAAAACAATTACAACAAATGTGTGCCTCAGTGGTCAAAGCCCTGGTCTTGAATCTACAGTAAACCTGATCTAAGACAAGACGGTCTCAGAGATTTTTTATCCTACAAGAACTCAGATAGACCCTAATGTATTCATGAACTCAGATTGTCACAACGCATGTATTCTAGTTTGATCCGAGGCAGAACTTATCAGTTGCAGATTTCATTTGTGTCAAAAATAAAAGTTTGTTTAAAAAATTTAAATGGCTCCAGGCCGCATAGGTTAGGTAAATTGATTAAGTTTATTAATTTTTCTCATTTTTGACGCTGAAAAACAATTACGAACCCTGCATAAAAGATATTTCAAACTTAAATTTAGGTTTAAAATATTTACCTATTTGCTAACTTATCATTATTTGCTTGTAACTACCTGCAATTTAATGTACCTATCAATATTTACGAAGAACATTTCCTTATTATTATTATTATTATTATTTAACACAAAGGTTATTTTATTTTAAACTCTTTTTGCCTATGAAAAATGATAATTACGACACAATTCATTTTTTACAACAAAAATACTTTGCAAAATGTCTCAAATCAAAGCTCAGAAATGCTACTTTTATGCCGCACAAAAATTTACTATCCCTATTATTTATTGTCAAATAGTACAGTAATTAATTTCAACTTTACTTGCACTAACTAATATTTTGTACTATCTATCATAACTATTGACGTTGTTTTTTCCACCCAGCACCCCTATTCACTCCCTTTCCCGTACAATTGTTAATATTAATTGAACAAAATGGCAAATTTTTATTTAAAAATAATTAATTTTGTCGTTGTGATTAATTTGCACAAGATATACAACTTAGGTTTTTGTTAACAATAGCGATACCTACCTACAAGTACGTACCTATCCTTAGTTTTTTCGTAAACAAAAAGAAGTCAGACTAGATATTTACCAAAACAAATTTAAATATCGTCTGTTCTAGCCTTTAATGATTTTTTTTAATCTAAATAAAAAACTAATCATTTCATTACCAATTAAAAATGCTATCGGTACTACCTATCTAGGTATTTTTAAATACTCGCTAAAGTCGGTAGGCATCTATAAATAAATATTGGTGTGTCAATCACCCTGTATACCTAAGTAATTTATATGTTTTGTACTCGATTTTGTAAACATTTTATCAATGTTAAGTAAATAAACATTTTAAGTCAGATCTAACCTCAATTGAGGCGGGTTAAAGTCTTCAAACGAGATAATAACAAAGTATCATAATAAAACAATCTAACATGCCGAATTAAATTTAGTAGGTATTTAAACTACTTGCCTATTCTGTTGATCAGGTCAATACACTGAGAAATATGTGGAAACTGCAGGATTTTCCTCCACTTTTTGCTTTTTCCCTTGTTATTATCGGAACCACCTGAAACATTCAAAATGCACTTTGTAGATTTATCGGCTGATTTTTTTTTTTTTGTAAATCCTACCCTCTCTTGCCTTTAGGTACACGGTATTTGCAACTATATTTTCTAATTCCATGAGTTCCAGCTTGATCGCTTGTTATACCCGTAAAATCGGGCCAAAAACGACCCGTTTCCATTAAATAAATTTACACAGGTGATTAAAAAATACACCGAAAAAGCGTTTTTTCAGTCCCATACACTTGTTCCTGACAAATTAGCGTTGGTATTCCGCACCCTCAGTCGGTAAACTGAAACTGACAGCCACAGCACGCTAGATTCGTATTTGTAGAACGTGGTAGAAAAAGTCGTTCATCTCACCGCGTTCTGAGCACTGTGGGGTGTGTCTTGAATCCAACCCCGTACACACTCTGCACCCTTGTTAGAAGACTAACGAAACGAACTACTACTTTCTCTGCAGATTTTACACAACCGTCCGGTCGGCACAACGGCACACGCGTTTTCGCTGCTCATGAGCTCGTGTATGCGCCACAGTCTCGGCGATGAGTGACAGCGACGGAAGAACTTTGAACAAAGATGAACGATGCTTACTTCAATGGAGTCTCCGTTGCGGAATGTTAGGAGTATTGCATACCTCATAGGGGCCTACTTTACGTTACGGAATAAAAGTTCAATTACCTATGGTTTGTAGTTTTTGAAGACTGTAAACTTCGAGCATATATATTTCATAGATTCCGCATTCAATAGGGTTTGTTTACGTTATGAGGGGAAATGCCTGTACACTATTACCAGTGTCGCATTATTTTTACGGGGTTTGCAATTAATATAAATAATAAATTTGATACATACCTTCAAAATTCTTTAAATTATACACATATTTTATAAACTTGCATTATTTAAGTAGGTACCTATCTAGTAATAGTAAATAATTATTATTAATATTATTATTTGTGTTGGAAACATCAGATTTTTTTATAATTCAAACATCAGAAAATGTATAACAGAAAAATGAAGGTTGAAATAATAGGCAATAAAAAAGATAGAAAGCTTATATTTAAAAATCAAAAATAAAAATTAAAAGTAAGTAAATATTTATGATATCTCTTACACAATAGATTACTTAACGATATACTACAAATAGAAATCAAGCTAATACTTAGATACATTTGCACTGCTATTCGTTAACATATAAGCATTGTATTGATCTAAATACAATGATATAAGTGAAGCTTCATTTTTATTTGAAAACCGTCTTAATATTCGATTATTTCTTAATGACTAGGAGTGCAAATAAAAGAAGCTTAAAATGACTTTTGTATTGAAAAACTCACATTAGGTTTTGCTTATTTCTTAACGACTAGTAGTCTACTTAATTAAAGAACATAGGTACATTTAATATTGTCAATTTTTGCGGTTTATAAAAAATATAGGAAGTAATAGGTAATTATTTTAAAATAAAATTTATGTTGTATTAAAAAGTACTTAGTTACTTACATGTTCTCTAATTCTGCATTTTCTTTTTCGCCAACAGAGGCTTCATGGTTCAGATCATCACTGAAAAATTATAAGACATTCCAAACAAATGGTGCGTTTGATTTGATCATCGGAGATCTCCGAACGCTACAAAAGTGTTTGAATTGACACTCCGAGCGATCCCAAAAGTGTTTATTTCGCTTTGGAGCAAGCTCCATGTTCTCAGAGCAGAAGTATCGAGAAAAAGAAGAAATTTGTCTTTGTCTCTACCTATCTCTTTCTAATTATTCTACAAACAAACTTGAAACTCAAAATTTGAGACCAGTCAAGAAGTCAACAAAAATTACTTAGAAGCTTTAGTCTTAGAGCTAAAATTATTATTATAAAAAATAAATAAAATGTATTTGAAGGATACATTTTCTCTGCTCAGATCTGATCACCAGTAATCACAGTCATGGAGTGTAAAAGCGAAGTGGGCGTTTGTGGTATATACTGCATTTCAAGACCATATTGAAAAGTTTTTCCATTTTCTTCACTTTTTGCTCCCTGTTTTGACATCCGAGCAATTACTACTAGAGGGAGCGTGAAACGAGTTTGTAGGCAAATGTTGTGTTCGCAACATCTGCAGAGGAAGTCAGGAAGTGGGCACAAGGGGGAAGATAAATTTCCCACTTGTTCAGTGGCGTATCATTTCTCTGTAAAAATACACATTGTCCAAAAATTTTTAATTGCAAAAAAAACTAAAAACTTCGCTAACTTTACTATAGTTAAAATGTATACCGTCTTATATGTATGTCTGATTCAGGAAATAAAACAAAATTTCTGTGTCTAATTTTTTCAAGTAAAGAATAAAACCTCAAAACCAATACATTAGTTTTATTATAAATAAATGCAGGAGACTAGTTTTGGCCTTACAGGGACATCTTCAGGAGTGTAATACAATAATCCTTAATTATTTTAATAGGTTGGTCACTTACTATTAAAATTAAATATTATAAATCACAAAAATGGATCCATATTGTATCATTACAGTATTGTAGAATTAAAGCTGTGGAAAAGGAAAAATAAAAGAGCGATGCAAACTAAACTAAAAATAAGAAAAATGGGTACGGAATCTACAAGAGATTAGAATGAGCAATTACGAAAGCATTTAAATTGCTTGGGATAACAAATAAGGCTGATAATGCATCAAAGAAGGCCCGGATATGTAAAAGAGGATTCGGCGTTTTCTCTGTAAATCTTAAGAATGTAAGGATGGAGGGAAGATGAATCTTGCTGTCTCAGGCGTAGATAGGCTAGAAAAAGGAAAGTGTAAATCAAAGCTACAGTAAAAATCGTAATTTTCGACTAATTTTTTATTCTCACTCACCGTTTCGGTTTTATCTTCGAAATTCATTTTCAAAAGGAAATAAAAGTAATCATTCATGCAAGCATATAATAAAACAACGTGAATTCTTTATATTTAATAAGCTAATAAATATTTGGTTCAATGACAAAAAATATATGTGAATATAAAAAAAATAGAAATAGATAAGATTAATATCAAAATCAATTTGAAAATAAAACAAACAGAGAGTAGATAGAATTTTTAAAGAGTTAATGATCCCTGAACATAACCAATCTGACGTTTTCCCTATTTTTAATATTATGAGGGTTTTTGCAGTTAAAGTGAAAATTATAATTTATTTTTGGTCCCAATAAAAATTTAAACATAGGTTATCAAAGAGGAAAATACATATAGAACTTCATAATCTTAAAACGTTATCAAACAGTATTAATGGTAAATCTTCAAATAATAATTAAGTTCTTAAACAAATTTGTTGTGTTTGTTTGACAAAAGACTTTTTTGCCTTCTTCGGTTGCCTCTGGCACTTTTCTTTTAGTACTTTCGAGGAGATTTTCACTCTATGGAAAGCAGGAGAACCATCAATTGGTTGGTAACATTTTGATATTTTGGGTCTGGTAAGAGGTAAGTCTTGTTAAACTTTATTCTTACGTAGCTGTAACCTTTTGGAGAATAAAAATTGAATGTTAGATCAAAAGCTCTTGATTAAGGATTATATTTGTAAAGGCCGTTTTAATAATATTTCCAAAAGTTCTTGGAATCGTTGTTAACAGAAACAAAGCACATTCATATAGTGGGTCCTATGATTGAACGTTTACGTTATCCGTAATGTACATGTTGGGCCGAGTTTTAACAGTAACGAGGCTAGTTCGTATGATGGAAAACTTTTTCCAACACATTGCTGTTATTTTCCGCCTGTTATGTTCTAATTTAACAGTTTTCCATCATACGAAGTTTCCTCGTTACTGTTAAAACTCGACCCAACATGTACGTTACGGATAACATAAACGTTCAATCATAGGACCCAATATCATTGTGCTAAAACAGTAGGTAGATATCGGGACAATTAAAAAAAAATAATTTCAAGAAAATCAACTTTTAATGTCATTATTAAACTTTTTTATTGCTTAAATTATTAATATTGTCATTTTGTGTAGTTCGTTGTGATTTGTATAATATATATTATAAAAACCTATTGTCAATTTTATTAGGTACCGACTTTTCTTTAATAATTATTTTGTAAAATGTCCTTGTTCTAGTAAAAACTCATTTCTAGAAGTTTTCTGGATTTTTGCTTTAAGTTATCGTATAACTGAATTGACTAATTGTGTGTTTAATTAAAGGTATATCTCTTCTTTGTTAAAACAGTCTTTGTATTGTTCTATATTTTTTAAATAATTAGAGAAAACAGTAGACCATCTTAAAATATCCTACTAAGTATTAACTTAAAAACTAATTATCATGTATATTGCAACTCTGCTCAAATAATTGAATGTTTTTATACCTGACTATAGCAACAGAAAGACATTTTTTAGATTATAATGATCTGGAAAACTCAAAATCCACATTATTTAAGTTGTTCTAGTATTGTTTTAGTCGATATAAACTTCAATAATGAACATGCATTGTTTTTTGAGACGTTTTTTAGTAAATGTGATATTCTTGTTTAGTTTGTTACTATATAATATAGTTTATTAGTGATTTAGAAACAAATTACGTTATATTTTATAGAATAAAAAATCACTCATAATATCCAAATATTTATACCTATATCTTTATATTTCGGACACGAAGCCTATTTTATGTATTTGGCTCTGAATAGTTTTCTTAATAATTTTCTAACCTTTTTGCTTTTTTGGGGTACTCCTCAGCATCAACATATCTTTGAGGTTCATTTTGTTTAAATTTAAAATTAATTAAGTACATATTATAAAAATTTAAACAATACACAAAATCAGTCGATTAAATTACAGCTTTGTCTTTTTCCTTAACATTCTTTTAGTATTTTAGTAGCAGATAAATATGGTGAGGAAGTAGTGACAAGATTGATCATTATACCTCTTTCGTCGAAATTTACTGAAATTGCATTTTTCTTTAATATTTTCCTCCCCTGAGGTCTGTAATAAAAATCTTTATTAGCGTAAAAAGTTATTCAGGTGGTCACTTGTTGAATTCCTAAATTTTGGAACCATTTATTTCTTTTTAACCGACTTCAAAAAAGGAGGAGGTTCTCAATTCGTCGCAATATTTTTTTTTATGTATGTTCAACGATAATTCTTTAACACGGTGTCCGATTTCAA